ATTCACAATGTTTTTTCTGATTTTATGAAGGGGGAGGTGTTTTCGTTGTTCTTTTAATGTTTGTATGTTTTTTGGAATGTCTATAGGATTAAAGTTTTCATTATTAATTATATTCACAAGATCTTTATAAGCATAATTTCCTATCATATGTTTTGTAATCCAAGTAAACATCATCAATGATGTTATATTTTTAAAATTAGTTTCTTCAGAGATATCTATTTCTATATCAGAATTATTGTCATCTTCGAAGAGGTTGGAGTAGTCAGAATTATTGCTATCTTCAAAGAGATAAATATTGTTTGAGTAGTTAGAATTATTATCAGAGTTGTCATTTTCGGAGAGATAAGAGTTATAAGAATTATTATCTTCATCATCAAAAAAACAAATATCATCAAAGTTATTAGAATTATTGTTATCATCAAACAGATGAATTTCATTATAATTGTCAAAATTGTTATCATTAAGTTGGTCTGAAAGGTCTATATTATTTTTACTTTTTCTTACATAAGTATTTTGAGGACGTGGACGTTGGATTTGTTTGCTCTTATTTCTAAGATTTAAACTCATGTTATATTTATAAACTCAGTTTTTAATTTTTATGAGTTTTTTGTTTATTTATCTTATTTATTTATATATCTGTGATATTACACAAATTTATCTTCAAAGTCAATTTAATATCTTAGTGATATCTTATCGATATCCTGTAATACATAATTTATAATAAGAATCAAAAAATAAGAATATCACTGTAATATAAAAATAATATCATTTCAATATCGGATGATATTTAATAATATATTTTTTAAAATATTGTTGTAATAATTTTAAAATATCACTACGATATTGTTGTGATATAATTATCATATTTAAATATATATATCGTGATATTACAAAATATTTTGATATTGTTTTGATATTATAACAATATCATATAATATTATAGTACATTAGAAAATTTAAGCACATGATTTTTTAAATATTTTTTGGAGATACCTGATATTCTTTTTATTCTTATTGAATACTTTTGTTTCAATACAATTTTATTAGATTATAATAATTTTACAAATTTATTTTTCACTTTATAAGTTAAGATTATTAAATATTAATTTATTATTATTATTATTATAACAACAATATAAAACTGAAATAAAATTTCAAATTCAAACTTGTATATTTTTCAAATCTAAAATAAATAATAATTAATTTTTAGTTTTTTTTTAATAAAATTATATATATGATTTTACTTACCAAGATACCTACTGTTGATTAATATTGTTATTATCATCAATATTTTTCATAATTTGAAAAGCTCGAGGCTTTGTAAAAGTTGGTGTTTTACTATTTAAGCCTTGATTATTGTAAAGTTTAAATTTAAGTTGATTTGATTCAGCATTATCAATTTCCATGTTTTCAAAATTGTCTTCATCATGGAAAAAATATTATAGATGAAATATACGATACTATGCCTAATATTATTAACTCCACAAGTTAAAGGAAAGTTATTGTGAAGTAAATAATAAGAAGAGAATGTGACGACCTGATCAGATTGAAGTGGTACAACAGTATGAAGTTGAGGAAAATAAAGTTTACCTCCTTTAAAATTACCTAATGATATCAGGCAACATAAACAATTTTGTACATCTAATTTATCCCAATGATAATTACTAAGTTTATCAAAATTAATAACAATCATTAGAAAAATTCCAAAAGGTTTTGGAGCAAAAGGAACCCAGAAAAGATTTCTCAACTTCAAATACATATTTCTATAATAGTCTTGTATGAATTTGTTAACATAATTTGATAATGATACAAGACTAAGAAGTAAATTATTAACACATGGTCGATGTTTCATATTGTAACTACTAGTTGTATTGGCACTTGTATATGGAAGACTAGTATACCTTCTATAAGCACCAAAATGTTCAACATTGTTTTTACAAAAATCTTTACTTTGATGTGCTTTGTTACTCATTATATGGAGATAGTATCTATTTACTACATTGGTAGCTTGAGTTAAGGCATTTTAATAATTTATAATTTCTAAGTGAATTAAAATTTGATCTTTTTGATCCACTATGCATCCTGGCTTAGCAAAACAGTGTACACTTTGTACTAATATATTACTCTGTCTTGCTAATCCATATTTTGATTTTGCTGAACTCTTTAATTTCAATTCTGAAACAGTTAGATTATCTTCAATCTTAATAAAACCATGTTCAATATTAAAAGAAAAATCTCTAAGAAGTA